GACTTCCAATTCTTCCTGCTTGTGCAAATGCTGGGTCGTGACTACAATAACGCTCCAGCCTGCCTACGATATACATCTAGTATTTTTTGGATTTCTGTTGCCCAAGGTTAGTCAGGGCTCAATGGACCTTTATGTTAAAAGCTCAGGATTGTTATTCCGAATGAAGTAATAATGAAAAGCAGTACTTTCTCATGGATTAAGCAAGGGAGCCAGGAGCTTACAAATTCTAATTCTGGCCATAACAGATTCTATGGTTTGGGGCAAGTCTTTTCACTTGTCTGTGCCTATTTCCTCATTTGTAAAATTTTCCTACATTGCTAAAGTTGTGAAGATAATTTAGTTAGGGCCCAGTGCTTTCTCTTTTCATAGCAAAGGAAGTTTGAACGCAGTTCTGGGTTTACAATGGGGACCGCCAGTTGCATAACACATGCCTTCTTTCCCACACCTTCAAATTCATACTCCCTGGGTGCATCTACACATGCATTTGCTGTGGCACCATTTTACTTTCAAGTAAATTACTCACAAGTAAACAGTGCTGGGCAAGCATCTACACGTGCAGGCAAGTGGAAGCAGATTTGCTGCCAATCTGCTCCCACTTCCTGGGGCCCTGCAATGCCCCCTTGCTGTCCCTGGAGGGAGCTCTAGGCTCTGGCTGCAGCTGCTAGCAGCCGGCAGCCCTCTTCAAAAGGCAGTCCACTCACTGCCCTCTGGCCAACCACTTCCCTGGACTGGAGCAGCCTGAGCAGTGCAGGGACATCACGTGGCAGCACTCTCCTTGCCTCGTGTGCCTCCCTGCGCTATGGCTGCTCTAGCCCCTGCCCCTGACAGTAATAACCAGTGCCCTGGGCTCCCTTCCCAGGCCTGGACAGGCTAGACTCCTGGCAGCACCTGCTGCCATGGCTCCAGATCCCACTGCCCCACCTCTCCTCCTGCAGGCCAACTGTTCTGCTGCCTAGTCCATGATGCCTGGGCTTGGGGCCACAGGGCTTCTGGACAACTGGGATGAGGTGCTGCCCCCACCTTCCCTGCAGGAATCTTCTGAAGGGTCAACCCTGCCCCGCCATGGCATCACTGCACCCCAAGTGTGCCTCTGCTGCACATGTCCCAGGCAGTGTACAAGGAGCTGTTTGCATGGATCAAGGGATGCCCGACGCACTATGCCGTGCTGCTATTGATGGCTGTGGTGCCCTAGGCACACCTGCGCACCTGGCATGAGACACTGAGTTATGACAGCATGGGGGTTGAGCCTGGGCAGCCCTGCAACCTCCGCTGCCACCTGGAGGGCTCTCTGTGGCTGTGCTACATGTCCCTGCCTCCTGCAGTTAAACAGGACATCACTGCTGGCATCAATGCATTCCTCAGCATGTGAAAGGTCTGTGTCCGCCTGGTTGTGGTGGCACGGGCTGCTCAATAACATTTTGCACCTTCTGCCACCTCCCTATGTGCTATGAAGGGAGAGGTGGGACCTGGGGCCAGGGGAGTATGGCCAGGCCGGGTTGGGGGCAGGGGCTGGGGGCAGGGGCAGGAGCAAGGGTAAGGAGGGCTCTCCCCTCAGTGCTGGGCTTACTATATGGCTAGGGCTGGCATGGCTGGTGGCTCCATCTGGTCACAGCTGTCAGCAACAGCGTATGGCTCTTGGCAATGTCCTCAAATGGCAGGGTGCGGCAGGTGAGCATCCGGTTTGGAGCCCCCGTTAGGGAAGAACTTATGCTGCTAGTGGCCAGAGGTGTCATGGCCGGCCATGCTTCATGATGGGGGCTGGATCTGTGTATTGTCACAGCAGGCTCCTTGAGCTGCTAGTGGAGGGTGCAGCTGGGGAGCTTGGTGGGATGGGCCGCTGCAGGCCCAAGGGGCCCTCCCCTGGTGATGTGTTCCTGTGGGTGCCAGCCCAGGGCAGGGGCTTGGGCAGACCGCCCATGCTGCTGTACACAGCACAGCTGCGGCCTGGGTCCTGGGGTGCAAAGATGTCCATCAGTTGCCACATAAAGGGCATAGACTTACAGGCACTCCCTGACTGACAGTTGTGGTTAGTGAAAGGCCTTCACCTTTATGCGGTACTGCTGTGCGGACTGGTTGTGCCTACACTCCTGCATCTGGCCTGACAGCCCTTCATAGACCTGGGTGTTGGAGTGCCCACCCCACTCGCACTGGCGCTGCATCTCTGCCTCACCCCACAGTGCCACGAAGTCACCAGTCTCTTGCAACCTGATAGGGCCTGGGTGGTGGGCACAGGCGTGGGCATGGGCATCAGCGAAGATGAGTCCATTATGGGTGCCATGTTGGCTCTCTGGGCCTCCACATGGCTGTCCTTGTGCTGCTGGGCCTGGTCAGCACAGGTGCCTGGCAAGGGACTGATAGCCACATGGCAGAAGCAATGCCCCACAGCACCTGCAAGCTCAGGCCAGTTGAGCCTGCAGCTGGGCCTGAGGGATGGCATGCCTGGTTGGAGTCTGCAGCAGCCTGCAAACCTAGATGGTGCAGGCCTGGCGGGCTCATGGCACTGCAGTGCCAGGCAGTGGTGTTGGGGTACAGGTAGGCTGGGGCACCTGGCCTGTGGCTTGGCCCCCCAGGGGGACACAGGGGCCTGGAGTGGCCTCAGCTTCCCTGCTGGTGTACCCCAGGGCTTAAAATGCCTGCAGACTTTTAAAGGCCTGAGGTAGGGGCTGCCATAGAGGCAGCCCAGCCCTGGGGTAGGAGAGGCTCCCAGCCCAGAGCCCTGGAGCTAGCCTTAGGTCAGCTCCCTAGTGGCAGGGCTGACTTGGGAGCAAATTTGCTCCTGAGTTGTGCCTATACATGAGTTACTATGCAGTAACTAATTGCGAGTAAATTGTATACCTGCAAATATCAGATTTACTCATGATTAGAGGTGCTTACTGCACAGTAAACTGTGTTACTGCGTGGTTAAGCATCTTGTGTAGATGTGCCCTCTGTAGGCTAGGCTATAAGTACCAGAACAAGTGCAACTACAAATGCACAGGGCTTCTAAGAAAAAAGGCATATATTTTTTGTATCTCCCCAGAAATCTTATTGGATCTGAGGTTGTGTGGATCAGTTGCCATCTCTGCAGCAGTACAACTTCCCAGCTCCTGAAAAGAGGACAATGAGAAAAGTTCTAAGTGTAGATTCATGTGGTTTCCATGCTCCTTTGTAGGAGATTGTAAAGCTTTTAATATTTATTCAGCATTTTAAAATATAAAGTACCACATAGAAAAGTGTGTTAAAGTGGTTTTTTAAATTCCATCATTACAAATTGAGTCCTTTGGGATATTTATAAATCCTGTAGAATTTAAAATTATATAAATGGAGCTCCAAGTGGATTGGCAGAGAGAGTTCATCCTGCATTAGAATTTATTTTTTTATTATTTTACTTTCATTTTATTAAACACTGACTGCTGTACAAGAATTGGTTTATGATATGAAGAGCAATGATCTAAAGTGCTATGAGTGATACATTGGCACCTGCAGAGAACCTTGAAAGAATGGGACTAGGACACTGGTTTTTGGTGTTCTTAGACTCAAGGCACCCTTGAAAAATGCCAGTTCTTAGTTTTTGACTTTAGAAAAGTAATAGAGCAATTTTTGCTGTTGCAAAGAACTCAAAAAGACCACAACAGGTCAGAATAGTTTTAACACTATGGATCCTTATCTTGTGAACCATATTTGTACACCTAACAGTGCTAATATTGCATGGCACCTCACAGAACCCTTGAAAGGATGCTGTAGTACACTGGTTGACAAATATTGGACCAGGATGTGGATGCTGCCTTTATCTGTTTGTTAACTCTGGATTTTACAAATTATATATATATATATATATATATATATATAAAAGGGCTTAGTCCGTCTGTCTGTGTGTCTGTCTGTAATGCTCTTGGGGGCATGGCTCCCAGCAGGGCATGGCTGCAGCCAGTGCTGTGTCAAGAATGACAGGCAGGGCGTGGCTCCAGCAGAGCGGGCCAGGAGGACGGGGAGCAGTGGGGGTAGGAGGCTGGGTGGCACAGGGCTGGATGCAGGGGTGGGGAGGTGCAGGGCCGGGTGCATAGCGACCAGATGCAGGCGGGGGCTAGTGGGCACAGCAGCATGGGGCAGTGGGTGGTGCCAGGGGTAGGTAGCAACAGCCAGACACAGAGCGAGGGGGGGGGGGGGTTTGCATGCGGCGGTAGTGGTGTGGGGTGGTGCATGGCGGTGGTGGCCGCGTGCAAGCTTCTCCATCTCCCCACTCCACATCTAGCAATGCTGGGCAGTGGGTGGTGGCAGCAGCGGTGGTGTGCAGGCTTCCTTCCCCCCACTCTGGGAGACGGTGGCATTGTGGGGTGGTGGGCGGCAGTGTTCTGTCCGCACCCGCCATCATTGATGGGCAATTCGTTAGTAAAAAATAAATGTCACCTTTTTACTTTAATTCTGATAATTTGAACAGACATATTCATGCAAAGTACTTGTTTCACAGTGTCATTTGCCCTTTCATTCTCTCCAGATCTGAAAAGCCAAGCAATCAAGTTCCCAGTTGTTCTATTTTCCCTTTGACAACATCTATTACGTTGTCATGTGTTGGCAATTAAAAACATTCAGCATATTGAAAATAGGAAATGTGGGTACAGCCTGTAATGTATATGACTTGTTTGTTATGCTGTTGGTGCTGGGATTATTAGAATTGATTCTTCAGAGGCTCTGAAAAGCTTTACCCACTCAGCATAGTCTTTTTGAAGCTGGGGGTACTCACAGCACATTAAGTGAAGCATATGTCTCAGGGGTGGATTTGTAAAGGTATTGTGGTGCTTAAGGATGCAGATGAGTACATTTGAAAAACTCCACTAGTCACCTAGTGGCATCTTTGGGTGCTTGAACACCTAGGAAAATATGGCCCTATGTCTTTGCAGGATCCTAAATAAGAAAACATTTAATCTCTTTCTAGAAACCCATTATCAGTTTATCTCCTTGCCGATACTTTTATTAAATTTCACATTGTTTTTGGATGTACGTTTTTATCTTTTTTCTTGCAGGATTTTGATGCTACTCTTGCCAACGCACGCTTCGAACAATATCATGGAACATGCAACTTCCTTAGGTAAGTTTTCTTTCATTAATATTATGGCTAGATATGGGAGGTATGTGGGCCTGAATTCTATCAATCAGTTCAGCTTCATTGAGAGAGACTTAGAAAACACCCAAGCATGTTAACTTTTTTTTCCTTGTTGGTGCTTTCATGAACTGAAGCCCACGGAAGTAAGCGGAGTCTTCCCATTCGCTACTGGGGCTGTGTGAAATTTTGGCAGCCATTTCATTTCAGAGGTGTTTTGGGCCATTTCAGTGCCCAAAACACCAATGGAAGGCTTTGAAACGTTTCAGAAATGTTTTGGAGAATTTTGGCATTTCGGAGCTGGGCGTGCAGGGAAACAAAAATTAAGAAGAGAGTGGGGGAAGAGGGCGGGAAGGACTGCTCTGATACTGGCATCTGGCTCCTGGTTCAATTCCCCAGCTCTCTGATTGCTTCCCCCTACTCTCTGATCATTTCCCCAGCTTTTCCCAGGAGGCATGGGCTCCTGAATTTGCGTGTGGGGTTTCAGCAGGCTGCCGCTGCAGGCTGGGACCAGTGGCAGCCACTCAGCGCAGCCCGTGCCGAGCTCTCTGAAAATTGTGGTGCTGCCACTGGCCCCAGCCTGCAGCAGCAGTCTGCTGAAACCTGACGCACAGATCCAGGGGCCCATGCCCCCAGGGGGAAGAGCTGGGGAAATTGAACTGGGAGCTCCAGGTGACTGCTGAAGCTGCCCCAGCCCCCAGATAGCACGCAGCGCCCTTCCAACCTGCACTATGCCTGTGCCATGGAGCAGCTGCTGCGTGGGTGCCACTGGGGAGGACAATCCCTGATGCCCCTCGCTGCCCCATGCTGTGTAGGGGGGCTCTGCTACAAGCTCCCAGAGGCCCCAATCACCACTGCTGCAGCCAGTTAGTGTGGGGATTTTTTCTTTTTTCTTTTTTTTTTTTTGTAAGTGCCAGGAGGCTGGGGCTGAGTAGGGATGGGGCCGGGCAGGGCACCCATGGGGGCTTCTGCAACTCCCCTCACTGGGGCAGAGGCAGGCACAGCCGGAGGAGCTGCGGAAGAAGCCCCCATGACTACCCTGCCTGACCCCAGCCTTCCGGCACTAAAAAGAAGGAAAGAAAAAAGTCCCGCCCTCACTGGCCAGTCTCTTCCTGGGGGGCGCAGGCCTCCGGATCTGTGTGTGGGATGACAGCATGCTGCTGCTGCTGGCAATTGATACTAGTTTTGCTTTGAACAGTTTGAGGTGCAGTTTCACAAAACTCCCTGCACCTAACTCCTTGAAACTTGGCAGGATTCATGCCATCAGATAGGGCTACCATTCCTGCAATTCTCATCTAAATCAGGCAAGATATGACAAAGTTATAGGCATTTTAGTGATTCCCCATTATAGCCCATGGCCAAACCAGCATTGAAACTCCGAAACAGATTTGGCCGAATCAAAATGGGACAGCAATCCGAAACACCACAATGAATCGCTGCCTGTCTGAAACGCCAAATCAAAACCAAAATGAAACGTAGCTGTTTTGTACAGCCCTGTTGACTACAGTGGCCTCTGGATCAGGACAGATGGACAGCAGAAGAGTGCTCATAGATATTATGTATTGATTCATATATTGAAACAACTTAATGTCTGGTGCAATCAGATGCCATTCACACATAAGTGTCTTGGGTAAATTCATGGTGACTTCATGGAGTAGCTATATGTGGAATACAAGTGAGCTGAAAAATTGAATAAATAGTGTTATAAAGGAACATAATGTGTGCCAATTTAGCATTCAGTGGGTGCATCTACCTGTGCATTTGCTCTGGGGTGGGTTTACTCTAGAGTAAACCCGCCCTAGAGCAAACCCACTGTCCTGGTCAGGGACCTGCCCCTGACCAGGACAGTTCTTAGCCCCTGCTCCATGATTGCAGGGTGGGGGCCAGGGATCTTATTCCCAGCCCCTGCTCCACAATTGTGGGGCAGGGACTGGGATCCTGTTCCCTGCCCAGCTCTGCAATTGCTCTCCAGCCTGTTCCCAACCCCCACTCGGTGATCACGATTGTGGAGCTGCCCATGGCAGCTTCCATGGGCAGGGAGCAGTCTCCTGCCCCCTGCTGCCCAGTTGACTGGGAGCAAATTTGCTCCCAGTCAGATGTCTGCGCATGTGCTAATGTGCTGTTACTAATCACGAGTAAATTTGCTACTTGCATTTGCAGGTAGCAAATTTACTCATGATTAGAGCCAATTACTGCTCAGTAAGTGTCTGCACATGTACACGCAGACACTTACTGTGCAGTAATTAGCTGTACTACACAGTAAATTGTCTTGCATAGACACGCCCAGTGGGTGTGAAAAGTAACTATAATTTATACTCCAGAAGAACAAAATGGACATGTAGCAGGAAATACAGCTAACAGCAGGGCATTGAATAGACCCATTTTATCGTAGCTGATACTCATGTAACCACTTCTGCCCCTTTAGCATTTATTTATTTTACTATTTTACTTATATTACTTGGTTGGGTAATTGGCTGGCCACTACCCCGGTGAGGGTCATGGGAGAGACCCAAAAGATGGTACACCTGCCACTTAAGGTGTACGCTAGACAAAGCCTATGGCTGAAGGGGCTCACTCTGACAGGGAGCAAGTCTGGCCCTCATGCCTATTCCATGGTGAAGGTGAGTATATCACTGGTGAGATATATGCTACTATTGGATCATGGAAAAGAGATTCAGTCTTGGCAAACACAGGTTGCATAAATTTAACTTACACATAGTTGTATTTCATTTTCTGTGTTTTCTAGTTAAATATTTTGTATTGAGGTTGGTGGTGGGAGGGGTTGGTGAACATTTTCCCAGAAAATAAGTTTTTAGGGCCTTCTGCTCCTTACCACTGTTTGCCCTCCAACTCTGCCAGGTTTTAAACTTGCCCACTGAGTAACTTCATCAGTTAACAATATTCTTCACAGGAGAGTTGCGAAGATGCTCAGTATCTCCTCAACCAGAAGACAGTACGAGCTGTTCCGCATCCTCTACACAGCAACATCTGGAAGGACAGTAATGATGTATATAGACTCCCAGCAGGGGTGATGCAGGCATCTACCCTGAAGATCTTTAAAAGGAGACTGGATGCACACCTTGGTGGGGTTACTTGACCCCAGCAGCCTTTCCTGTCCAGAGCAGGGGGGCTGGACCCAATTATCTCAAAAGGTCCTTTCCAGCCCTAAACATCTGTGATGTCTTAGAATCTTAGGGCTGGAAGGGACCCTGAAGGATCATCGGATCCAGCCCCATGCACGAGCAGGAAAGACATCTGGGGTCAGACGACCCCAGCCAGGTGACCATCCAGTCTTCTCTTGAAGACCTCTAGGGTAGATTATTGCACCACCTCTAGCGGGAGCTTGTTCCATAGTCTGGACACCCTAGTTGTAAACAAGTTTTTTCTAATGTTCAGCCTGAAACTATCTTCTAGGAGTTTGTGGTCTTTGTTTCTACTTTTCCCCCCAGGGCATCCGGGTGAACAGTTGTTCACCGAGCTCCTGGTGTATGCCTCTGATATAGTGGTAAGCTGCAATCAGGTCCCTTCTCAGCCTTCTTTTCTTTAGGCAGAAGAGTCCCAGATCCCTCAGCCTCTTCTCATATGGCTTGCCATGCAAGTCCTTGATCATATGGGTGGCCCTTCTCTGGACCCTCTCGAGCTTTAGCATGTCCTTGTTGAAGTGCGGTGCCCAGAACTGGACACAATACTCCAGCTGCAGCTGCACCAATGTTGAGTAAAGCAGGAAAAATCACTTCTTTGGATTTACTAGAGATGCATTGATTGAAGCATGTCAGAGTTTTATTAGCTTTAGTGGCTACTGCATCGCTTTGCCAGCTCATATTCATGCTGGGGTCTTTTATTACCCCCAGATCCCTTTCATTTGTAGTGCTGGTCAGGTTAGTGATGCCCAGTCTGTAGGTGTGCTGGGGGTTCTTCCTTCCGAGATGCAGCACTTTGCATTTCTCTGTGTTGAACCTCATCTGGTTCCGTTCTTGGTTCTTAGCTTTCTGAACATGTACTTCCACATTTTCATTCAAATGGTGCATAGAAAGTACCTCAGATTTTGCAGAAGCATCTCACTGTTGGCAGACTTAATAGTCTTCAGCCTACCCATAACTTCTTGAGTATTCACAAAAGTTCTATTTTCCTACATATACAGACGGAGGATGCAGGTATACCTGGATCTTAGCAACTATCTGTCATGGGAAATCTTTTTAGCAGGTCACTGACTTGACTCGCATGGCTCTTCATCTCATTAACAAGGAAAAAATTGTTGTAACTCCAACTGTATCTGAAGAGTTCACTGAGGCAATGTTAACCTTTAGAGTGGTAGGGACATGCCTCCTACCATAATGCTTATCAACTGGCTGCATGCATCCCAGAATGTTGGTAAGGCTATCTTTCAAACCCATGGGGAAAATGGCTCTGTAGATTTTCATCATAGTGTCTTCAGGACTTCACCTGGAGCCCTCATATAGCCGATTGAAATCTGTTTCATTACCTAGCAGGCTCTCCATGAATAGACCAGTCACGCTCCCTCTAGGAGGCCTTGTTTTCCTTCAAATGACAGCTTGAAGACTGGAAATAAACTGTTCACATTGGTTTAGAAGGGAATTCTCTCACTGGACGCATCTACATAAGACGTTTACTGCACAATACCCTAATAACACTGTGCAGTAGCATGGTGGTTAAAAACTGTTCTAATAGCCTACTGTGCAGTGTTAGTAGGCTAATGCACAGTAAGCATCATGAAAAAACAGTGCACTAGTGCTACTGCACAGTAACTCTAGATTCATAGATGTTAGGGTCGGAAGGGACCTCAATAGATCATCGAGTCCGACCCCCTGCATAAGCAG